TATTAACTAAGATTGGAATTTTTGTTGTGAAATATATGTTGTTAGAAAAGTTATCATAGACTTACTTTTTATGCTCTCAGTTTTATACTGGACAAACATGGCTTAATCATATGTATAGATGAGAGAATGGCAGCACTGGACACTTAATTTACTAATGTTTTCTGAATGGAAAAGTTTTCATGTGACCCCAAGGGACAAACCATTCATATTTAAAAGTGCTGCTAATGAGAAAATACAGGAAAATATTCATGTAATAACACTATCTGTGTTATTCTTTAAATTTTTTAAAATTTATTTTTATGTGTATGTGTGTTTTTCCTGCATGTATGTCAGTGTACCCAATTAGGGACAATTGTTAGCTGCCAGTGGTTTCAGGTAACCAAACCTGGATCTTCTGCAAGAGTAGCCAGTGCTCTTAACCCCTGATCCATCTCTCCAGCCCCTACTTGTGTTATTTTAAAATAGTAACAAATAATGCTGGGCCTAGCATAGTAAGGGTTGTATAGTTGCATCTTAATCAACTATCTCTTTAGATTAAATGAAATTTTCCCATAACTTCCAGTTTGTTATAGTAAGAACATTATAAAGTTAAAAATATGTGACTTTTTATTAAAAGAAAAACATTTTCATTTTTTTGCCAAAAAATTTGTACCAAAAACATTCTTGGCAGCATAATTTGTAATTATCAGAAATTGGAAACATCACACAACATGGGTAGACTTACATATATGCAGGCAAAACACTCATACATATAAAATAAAAATAAAATTTAAAAACAGAAATTAGAAATATTGGAAATATTTCTGTAAGAGCAAGTAAACAATTATGACATCATCTTTAACTGGTATGTTAAAGAACAGTTAAATGCACAGGCTTTAGTTATGTACATAAGGAAGCTGTATCTCACATCTACAATATTGAGCAAAAGAATAAAATCCCCAAAGAAAACCTACAGAATGAATCCTTTTTACATAGAAATCCAAAAATAGTCAGATGAAGAGTTGAGAAGCAGAATTATTAAGAAAAATGCAGAGGACTGGGCATGGAAGCATCATCTTCGATCCCAGCACTTAGCTGAAGCAGATCAAGGCCATCGTAGTCTCTGTAAGGAGACTTGTCACAAACAAAAAAACAGAAGAAAAGAAGTTATCCTTGTAAATTCTACTTGGGGAAGGATACAGGAGCAGCAAGTGGGGCCAGAGAGGATGAAGGAGTGAACTGGGGCATGGGGATGAATAAGAGCAAAATAAAATGACATATGTTTGAAAATACCATAATGAAACCCATTAATTTATATGCTAACTTAAAAACTAGTATTAAAAAATTACTAGTGTATGGTTGGGGAGATGGGTCAGTGGATAAAGTGCTTGCTTGTGCAAGCATGAGAACCTGAGTTTGGATCCCCAGCACCCACATAAAAAGCTAGATGCAATGGCACATCTGTAACCACAACCGTGAGACGGGTGAACCTGGATATTCCCATATTTTTTTTTACTTTGGGTACTTGACTTAGAAGTTTGTTAATTTGTACATAAATAGCCAAGTACATTTCAAAAGGTGTTTGTTGATATTATGTTCCTAAAGATAGGTTCATTTTTAAAAGATACATATGTTCTTCTTTTATATTTTATTTCAGGAGGCATTTTATTCTTATGTAAAATGTACTGGGAAAAGGAAAAAAAAAGATCTTAAGATCTTGTCTAGCTATTTAATTAGACAACATTGATGCAAAATAAATAGATGCTTCCAGAGAATGGAAACACAGTACAGTTTTGGGATAAAATTTCTCAGAGAGTTTTGGCACTGATTCTTGTCTGATCTAGGTTTTTTTTTTTTTTAACACCAACCTTTAATTGGAAGATCATTATATCTTGAAACAGGACCATTAAATGAAGGAATTATTCTTGCTTCTTCCTAAATTAAGCCAGTTTCACCATCAGGAAAGACTTACTTCTTCAGTGTAGCTATTCTTAAATTTTCCTTTGTGCTCCACACAGCTCTACCTCTGAATTTTAAAATCTAATTTTTTATAGTCCTAAAAGTCATTGTACATAATAGGTTTTGTGTTGGTGCCACTAAGGTGAATATGTCCTTTGCTTTTTTGTTATGCTACTGATACTAATAAATATTTATAATCTGTGAGGTACTGCATTTAAATTCTTCGGTTTATAACTATTTTTTCCTGTTGATTTATAGTAGCACTTATTTATTTGTAGTATATATTTACTTTCTTTCATAAAGATATTTGTAGTTTTATTATAAATGATGATTAAAAGAAAGTTTAGGAAATAATACACTAATTCAGCTATTCCACTAATGTTCCGTATTATCAAAGTAGTTGGGGTTCTTTTTATTACTAATACTACTCAAATATGACCTCTTTATAACTAACTTTGATATTTCAAAATTATTAGTAGAATTTTATTTTCCCAAGGTTTACACATCATAATATCAAAGAGCTATTTTAAGAATCATCCAGAAAGAAATGTTCTTGCTGAGGTACATGACAACATCTAAAAGTACAATAGAAAGGAAACAAGTGTTCTATGAGGAAAACTGGATAGTTGAGTGAAAAAAAAAAAAACTTGTTCTCCTATTGAATGCCATGAGCAGTGCTGAATGCAATGGTTGTATAGTCCCAGTACATTTATCATTCCATCTAATTTTTTATTAATTATCTTCTTTAAAAATTAATGAATAAAGCATAAATTAAAGAAGGCAATATTGTGTCCCTTTGGTCTGTGTCACCTTCAGAATAATATGGTTCAGTTTTTTAAAGATACTAATTTGCTGCTGTGTAAATACAGTTTTATATAACAAACTTATTTACATGTCATGAATATGAGAAATTTTTAAGTGAATATGAATTTCATTGTTGTATATGACTCTTTCTTACCTGTTTATAAATAAAAATTTCTACTGTCCTAAAAACAGTTGAGGAACTTCGACTTGTGAAATTATTTTCCTTTGGCAAACTGAATGGAAAAGATTTGGGGAAAAAAGCACAAGTGCTGGCATAGTGGACAGGAATGTTGGAAAAAATTTTTAAGTGTTGGCATAGGAATTCTTTAAAAATTCTAACTCACTCACATGTGAAATGAAAGTAAAAAAGCATCTGTCCTATTTTGTGCACACTGAATAAATAAAAACGAGCAATTATATTTAGTGAAGTTTAAAGCTTTTTAAACTAAGGTATTCTGTCTGCCTTTTGGCAATGTTATTTGTTCCACTGAATTAAAATATTATGTTTTAGTGCAGGCATACTTTGTAAAGCAGAAATGATATGTAGAAGAGAGCATTCTCTTTTTCTATTCTGATACCGCAGATGAAATAGGAAATCTTTGAAAGACTAAACATTTCTAATATACTTGAGAGGAGAACTTTGGACCTTAGCCTCATCTGCCATTCAACCCATTAGTTAGTGAATATTTTCAGAACTTATGGGCATGTCTTACCACAGCATCTATTGTTCTGCTCAAGGTGAAACATAAATTAAGTCTTTAAGGATTACAACTACAATTATTTTGTTGAATTTTCCACAATTCATGTTTTTAATTCTACTACCAGATGTGGTTATATTTTCAGTGAAAACAAACAAGAAACTTAGAGAAATATGAAATTCTATTTTGATTCCTTCAGAACTAGTTTAAATCAACGTTTTAAAGGCCAACACGATGTTTTCAGATTGTTATCTGAGATGTTTTTATTGTGTTCTGGGGCTGGAGAAAAACAATTTGGTCTCTCATTCATGTGTCAGTAAAGTTATTCAATTTTACCATGTGATTATTTATTGGTAGAATGTGTTGTTTTTCATGCATCAAATTATTAAAACATAGATCTCAACACATGGTTTCATAATTGTGACTGAACTAATCCACAGAGTACCTAATTTCCTTTGATCCTTTATGTTGAACAGTTCAGGCCGTGGTACTTGCCTTGATAATGAGCCTCCCAAGCGTGACTTTCTTTACCCAGCTGTGGCCCCAGGTCAGGTGTATGATGCTGATGAGCAATGCCGTTTCCAGTATGGAGCAACATCCCGCCAGTGTAAATACGGGGTAAGAGTTCTCAATCCTCATGTTCATCATTCATAGATGTTCTTTTATGGCACAGACATTCAGATGAAATCATGGTGAACTTAGTTTAAGTATGACTTTTGACACTGCACTTCTGTTATCATTTGTGTATTATTTATTTCTAAATATTTGAGCAATCCTAAATTAACATGTTTCACATTTATTGTCAGGGATACAAACAGAATTTTAGTAACTTCTAATGAATTTATCTTTTAAATCTTAAACTTGTGATGCTAATTTTATTTTGTCTTGTAAAATGTTTTAGATTTAAGACACCTCCCTACTCCCCTTTTCTGGCACTCTTATACCTTGACTAAAGGGCATTTTTCACTGGCTTATGTACCTTTACCTTAATTCATACTAGCTAGAGCTGAGTCATTTCAAGTTGCTTCTCCTACTGTCTACCTTCCAATGCAACAACCAAGCAGGAATAAGGTAACATCAATTCAAATACTGAAAAAAGGGAAATAGATGTGGAATACAAAATGTAGGCATCATAATTTACTCTTCATATTAGCCCCAAAAGGTCATGGTGCCCGATTAGAGATGTATAAGAAATTTTGTTGTTGTTATTGTTATTGTTTGTTTTTTGAGGCAGGGTCTCCCTGTAGCCCCAGCTGGTCTAGAACTTACTATGTTGACCAGGCTGGACTTGATTTCACAGAGATTGGCCTGCCTCTACCTCCCAAGTGCTGGGATTAAAGGTATATGCCACCATACCTGGCTCTAGAAATATATAAGAAGTTTTTTTTAAATTTCATAATGATTTCGGTGTCTAATGTAGGAGTATAGGTTGAATGAAAAACAGGATTTTAAAATGCCAAGCTGTATGTTAAAAAAAGTAAAAGCTTGATTTGTCTTGTGATATAAATAATTCCTGTTAAAGGATAACAATATATGGAGTTAAGTTTTACCATAGGTACAATTGAACTATATATTTACTATAGTTTACTAGTTATTCCTGCTTGGTATGAGACAAAGAGAGGCAATTAGAAAACAATGTCTCTTGGGTGGCAAGCATATTGTTACTGTTGATAGCCTTGGCAGCACCTTCTGTGCTCTAGGTTTTTCATGATTGTGTGTAATTATCTGGGTATGTAGAGCCTCATGCGAACCTTTGATCTTACCTGTATCTTTAAAAAGTTTCTATTCTTGTTTCTGAATGGCTCTAGTTTTTTTTGTTCTTAAGTTGCTTTTTCCTAAAAGAAATTTGCTTAGGCATTAATCTCAGGCATTACACTTTGGTTAACAGACTGGTCTGAGCTCATGAGATTAGAGGTGTTTTGCTGCATTACTTTTCACAGCGTCTCTCATTTTTTGTTAGGTAATGAAACTGCTAATCTATATTTTACTTTTTCTTTTGGACTGAATATTAACTCCATTCATAAGTTTCTATGGTAGGTAATTTATAGTATTACATTTACAGGATTTACAGATGTAATTTTTTCTTTCTTGAATAGATTTATTTTTACAATTAACTTGATTCTTCTCACTTTATCTGAAAATCTCACTTCAGACTGGTTACAAATGAGACAAGGATTTATATGAAATTGTAATTTTCTTACATTCTGCTTTTAGATTTTGTTCTGTTATGTTTATGCAGACTTCTGTAAGAGATATAAAATACAACTGGAAAACTTGGTGAAAGTCATTAGCCTATACAGAAATATAGTTTCTTATATTTTGTCATGAATCTTTTTGCTTAGTTTTACAGTAAATGCTGATTTCTCTAGATACATATACAATGTGAAATTCTTCTGGTCATTTTGTATACTGCTCTACATTTCCAATTAGGCTTCTTAAGCTATAATAGATTCTTTACAATTATTCCTACTTCTTGAATTTATACCTAAAAACTTGGTTTACAAAATCGATAACACCCATTTCACACTGTTTTTTTTTTTAATCTGATGTCTCTAACATTTTAAACAATTCTAAATATTACTTAGAAAGCAATAGAATCTTTGACGGTAGGAGTCCAGTCAGGTAAGCAAGTCATGCTTCACAGGGCAGCTGAAGGGGACAGTGAACATGCCGAGATTTGGAGAACTGGGTATAGCTGAGATAAATGCAAAGCACCACCAATGTGGCACTAGTAAATAGTGGAAAATTTAAATGAAATGTACTGTTCTTTTTATTAAGGTGTTAAATGACACAAAGAAAGTGCCGTCTTCAAAGAAGTTTGTAAAAATACCACCTGACAAAACTCCCCCCTCTCAGTCAGCATTTTCCAAAGATTAAAGTGGGTACATAAGGTACCATATGTTTATGCAAAAGACAGTGCTGTCTTTTGAAGGCCTATGAAGTGATTCCTATTTGAAAACTAGTCTCCAATGATGTCAGGGAACGTTTTAAACAACCACAGAATGATCGGCAACTGCAGCAGTCGTCAGTTTTCCATCTCTTTCACTCTGTTCATCATGTAGTCATTGAGAGCTTACCAGTGCTTACCTCTATGGTTTTGAAAAATCCTGCCTGAATTCTTAGTTAATTCTTGAATGGGTTCATTTATATACATGTTATTACATTTGGGTACATACATGAAATTTTTCTATTTTATTTAATTTGAGCAACATTTTCCACAATTATCATTGTATGTGATCTAGTTTTGTTTTCCAATTTGTATTCTTAAATTACAGTAGGATAGTAAGGAAATTGTAATGATAAACACAAACAACAACAGTGCAATATGTAGTGTAATGTAGTAATATAGAAATGATGGTAGTGAGATGTAAATGATGCAGTGGCTTTCCCTGGGACACTTCAGACTGCATGACAAAATTAATAATTACTTTACAATATTTTATAAATGGGAAAACTAAAATTACAGAGTGTGATTTACTTACTCCAAGGTGTAAAAAAGTAAAGGCCTTAATCTGCCAGTGCTGTTTCTTCTAGGTATAGTAATTATGTTCCTAAAACCAGGGTTGCTGATGTGTTTTGTTTCAGAGAACTCTTGTTTAGTTTTTATCAGGTAATGTCTCATTCCTGATTACTAAAAATCTTCTCCTAACTCCCCATTTTGTTCCTGTTTCTTTGGGGAGAGAATAATCTCTAAACTTACTGTTTGAGGACATTAGTTCTTGAAATCTTAAAATTAATAAATTTCTTTCCCTTATTCTGTTGTTGTTATTATTTAAGACAACATCTCATGTAGCCCAGGCTGGCCTCAAATTTGCTATGTAGTTGAGGATTACCTTGAACTTCCACTTCCCAAATGCTGGATTTTAGGTTTGTGGTCCTGGGGATCAAAACAGGCCCTTGTATTCTAGTAGATGACCTACATCTCCAGCCTTACTTTCTTTTATATAAGAGTGAGTAAAGTTGCTTGCCCCCAAGCCTGATGACCTAAGTTTAATCCTGGAACCCACATGTTGGAAGGAAAGAACTGAGTTCCACAAGTTGCCTTCTCACCTTCACATGTTTATATGGTGTGCATTCATAGCGCACGCACGCGGGCACGCACACACACACACACACACACACACACACACAAACCAATTGCTTTTTAAAACTTAGTACTCCTATATGGTAACATTCAAGTATAGAAAAGGGACACGTAAAGCTGGGACTTTACTATTTACTCAAAATATCTACTAGTTCAGGTTTCTGAAGATGCCTTGAATGCTTTCAAGAAGAAAATGCATTGCAAATAAAATAGTAGAATCATTATCTTCAGGAAATGTTTCTTTGCCTATTTAGAGCAACAAACTCCTGTAAAGCTCTGTAGAATCTATTGTGTAACTTTCTGCCACTATTCCTTCTGTGCTTTTGAGAGCTCGAAAGATTCTAAGGGTCGCATTATTGGCTCAGCCTCACCCTTCACGATCAACTCAAGCAGAGTTTCTCTAGAGACAGGCCTTCAGTTTGATCATCCTCTATAAAAAGATTTCTCTCAGTTATTCTCTGTAACATATGGCTTATTTCCTTCAGCACCTATTAAAATCCATAACTTCTTTGCTATTTGATTACTTGTTAGTTAAATGATGCCTACCTTTGATAATCTTACCTAAATTTATACGTGTGTGTATGTGCACACATAAGTCCTATAATGTATTCCATGTCTCTTTTTCATCATTTAGTACTTTTTAATATACTATATATTTTCTTCTTGTCTATTGCTGTCTAATGGAATCTATTTTTCTTGGGGACAGAGATTTTGTTGTATTCTCTACTGTATAACTTTCCAAGTGTGATAGCAGATGCCTTTAATCCCAGCACTCAGGAGGCAGAGGCAGGCAGATCTCTGTGAGATTGAGGCCAACATGGTCTACACAGCAAGTTCCAGACCAGCTTGGACTACAGGGAGAACACCTCAAAAACAAAACAAGAAAACTACTGTATAACTTGCACCAAGAACAGTTTTCTGGCTCATTGTAGAGACCTGAAACAACATCCTTATTTTTCTAGGTAAATGAAAATGCTCCCTCTGTTTTAATGTGTTTGTGTGCATGTGTGCATGCACATGCACTTCATATTCATGCACATGATCACAGCTGATGTACTCATGATTGCCACATCCATGTCTAAGCAGAAAACAGCAATTTTATAGTACTCCCCCTCAGGCTGTGTTTACTCCAGCCCTGTCAACTGTTCTTCCCCAACATCCCTCGGACCTTAGAATGGTAACGTAGATGTCTCATTTAGGACTGAGCACTCAACAATTCCCTATTCTTAGCACTATAATGGGTTAGGAGTCTATGATTATTGCCTACTTCTCTAAGGCTGAGACCTGCACCAGACTCAGGGTATAAGTATAAGCATTTAGAAGGCAGTTTAACTACATGTCCATATAGCAAAACACCAGTAGTAGATTCTTCCCTGGAACCTGTCACCTCTCTAGCCATAGGCTTCTGGCCAGAGGTATGGGTCTTGTATTCCTTGTTACCAAGAAGGTCTTAGATCCATTCAGTAAGTTAGTTAGTTGCCCTTCGAGCAGTCATGCCTGGCAGGTTGGTATTGTATTATACAGTATCCTTTGC